TTAGAATATGTTTGCAATTGTTTGCTTATGTGAAAAGGCAGGTCGTCTTTGAGGGCATTTATTTAGCACAAATACTCCGTATTTCTTTATAATGATCCCAAATCCGCCCCGTCCCATCTTTTGTCACATCAACATTTGACTAACTTTTTCGCGTCATTACAAAATGATGTATTGATATCCTTTGAAAATCCGCCTCTCTATTTTCTTACACTATTGATCATCTTTACGCCGTAGTTGGGGCGTGCGTCGCGGCGGAAGTGCTGCAGCGGCGGGCGAGCCGCGACTATTACTCGGAAGATGTGCGACGCGACGGTCTTGGAGACGCTGCAAATGCCTTGATTAAATTTGGGAGAAAGACCAAAGTAGGACTAAAATATTGAAAATATACCAAAATAACACTTCCATATTTTTATTCCCGAAATAGGACTTATATTACCAAACATGGTCATATACATTACCAAAAAAGTATAGTAATGTGCACATGTACACTGCCACATTACCACAGTGCAAAGTCACATTACCACAGTGCAAAGTCCTATTTCGAAAAAAACATGAATGTCCTATTTTAGTACTTTTTTCTATGTTTTAGTTCTATTTAAGGTGATTTCTACATGAAATTTATGCAAATGATAAAATCAGTACGCTATCTAACTTTTTCGAAGCCCTAGAGGGGAGAAAAATTAGAAGACCTTTACACTCCTTACTAGACCTGGCAAAACAGAACCGGAACCGATTACCCGAACCGAAATATCCGAAACCAAAACCGGAATGACCCGAAAAATGAAGATCCGATCTATAACCGAAAACCCGAAATGATCCGAATCGAACCGAAACCGAACTAAATAATTCATATCCGATTTAAATCCGAAACCGATTAAATCCGAAATCGATAATATCCGAACCGATTAAACCCGAAATCCATTAGATCCGAACCCGATAATACCCGAAACCGATAAAATCCGAAACCGATTAGATCTGAAACCGATAATATCCGAACCCGATTAGAATTATAATCGATAAATTTAGAACTATATGTTTGCCTTTCAATAAGCATATTATATTTTTAAATTTTTACTTTTATTTTACCATTTGAACTAATTACATTACTTGCTCATTCCCTCATAAAATAGATTATCTTCTTGAAAAAAAGTACAAAATTTTATGCCTTAAATTTATTATATGTAGAAATTAAAGATAAGTTATACATATAAATGATAACACACAAACAAATAAAATTTCCGTAATTTTTAAATAGTGAAGTGTGATATTCTTTTTGGAACGAAAGGAATATATGATGAATTGTATGCGATAACTAGATTTTATCCTAATTTCATCTCATTATAATAAATTTTATTGATTTGAGAGTTAGTTTGATTAGTTTCAAACCAATTCACTCAATATTAGTCAATAAAATTAGATGCTAGTGTTAGCATTTTGAAAAGACTCTCTAGCGGCAGCCTTTACTGTTATCATTTTCAAATTTGATCTACACCATTACATTTAGGTGTAAAATTAATTATATTTGACTCTATTAAATTTAATTTTCTCTATTTTCAACCAAATATACTCAATAATTTACAAATTTTGCACTCAATTGAATAAAATTCACTTAATTTCACCCAATTTTACTCAATTTTTACCAAATTGTATTCAAATGGAACATAAGACTATTTGAATTTATCTTTTATCATTTCATTTATATACATAAGTATATTAGTAGATGTGAGAAAATTTTGATATTTCAAAACTAAATTTTAAAATCAATTTAATTATATTAAATTTATATCATAATTAAATATATATGTTTTCATAATTTGTAGTCCAAATTTAAAAAATATGACTAAAAAGTCAAAAAGGGAAGATTATTTAGGGTAGATGTAATATTGGCTAGGTTCTAGAGCCACTCAAAAAGAGTGGCTACGGAAGCCACTCACCCAATTGGGACACCTACAGTGTTCCGTTCGCAAAATTGATAGTTCCTACCCCCTCTAACCCCCCGGTAAACCCCCGCACCCGGTCCCGATCCCAACTCATCCCCCTAACCACGTCAATTGCGGAGTGCAAGTTTAGTTGACTTTGGAGTCAAATTTTTTGACTTTAAAGTCAATTATGCTTACGGAGTGTAATTGACGTAGATGGGGGGGTGATTTGGGGTCGAGACTTGGTGGAGGGGGGTTTACCGGAGGGGTTAAGGGGGTAGGAATCATCAATTTTATGAACGAAGTTCCGTAAGGGGGCAGTGGCTTCCGTAGCCACTGAAAACCAGTGGCCACCGAACCGGGCTGATATAATATAACTAGAAAGAAATATAAAATAATATGAAGTATTGAATTGATGATAGATTGATAATTGTGCAGTGATAAAACATAAAATAAAACACGGATAGTTAAATTTTAATTAGAAAATAATATATATCCAAAATATATTTGATCCGAAACCAAAATATATCCGAACCGAACTAGACCCGAAACCGAAATATATCCGACTCAAATTGTATCCGAACCGAAATCTATCCGAACTGATTTATAACCGAACCGTATCTGAACCGACTCAAAACCGAACCGAACTGAAAAATGTATAGAACCGAAATTAAATCCGAACCGAAATTTAACCGATCCAAACCGAACCTAACCGATTATAACATATAACCGAAAGATATCCGAACCGAAAAAATCCAACCCGAAACCGATCCGGTTGATTCGATTGCCACCTCTACTCCTTACATAGTACGAAAAGCTGAATATTTATTTCAAAAATAAAATGGTCACAAATCTTACAAATTTGTTATTTGAAAACTTTAATAAAAAAATAAATTAGTCTAAAATAATTTTAAAATGAGAATTTAAATCATAGATGGTAAGTTTGTAAACTTTGTGACCATTTTACTTCGTATTTATGAACCTAGCATTGCTCGTACGAAAAAGAAGAATGAAAATTGTGATTTCATTTTTAAAAGGAAGTCTTCATCCGTCCCAAAAATCTTTACTTTCTTTATATTTTTCATCTGTCTAAAAAACACATCTACTTTACTTTAAAATCTTCGTAGAGTTGTACTAAGATGGGTGGCCCATTGGAAAGTTCTCGTATTGCACGCTTTTTGTTGTTCATTTTTAATACACCCTCCGTCCTATATTGATCTTCCCACATTGACTAAAGGTCATTTTTTAGGGATGGATAATTATGGCTTTGACTTCCAAAAATACCCCTCCTTCCCACGCTACCGGACCCGCCTTCACCGATGATGTTTTCTTGCTTGATAGCGTCTAAGATTTCCTTTTTTCGGGAAGGTGAATGGCCGGAAAGAGACAAGATCCCAGCTTTCGTCTTTGAGAGACCGTTCCCGGCTCTTCTTTAAGTAGAAGAAACACGCCAGGGAAAGAAGAACGGTGCTGGAGAGAGCGAACAGGGAAATCAAGAGCATGTGAATGAAACGGGATTTTTGGGATTCCGGTGAAGACTTTCTGAAGGATTTGATGTTCCGTCAGCAGAGTGATTCCGGAATTGCGCTGGAAAACTTGTTTTCCGTGAGGTGAATTATATTGTATCTAGCGATTTTCAATTTTCCTATCGTTGCCGGGATTTCACTGGAGAGTTGATTGTGTCCAACAAAGATTAGATCTGACCAATTAAAGTTAGACACTATCAATCGAGCAAAGAAACAAATCTGTCCGGAAAACAAATCCGACCATTGAAGTTGGGCGGCAAAATTAGATCCACGATCGGATCGAGGAAGGAAGAGAAAAAGAGAGGCTCGGGGAAGGAAGAGAAAAAGAGACATGGGAAGGTAGATCCACAATCGGATCGGGGAAGAGAAAAAGAGAAAACAACATACCTGAGCCAGTGAGAGAGAGACGAAGAGAAGAGGGGGAGAGAAGGGTAAGATAGTGGAAGGGTAAGATAGTCATTTCACATCCTTTTTTAGGATGTGAGAAGGTAATTTTAGGACAATGAAAATGAGGAAGTGAGATAATGATTTTAGGACGGAGGGAGTACGTGATTAAAACTCAAATAACCTTCTTTCAGGTGATTGTCTTGTCGATTGTGAGGGGCACTCGGAGATAGAGTTTGTCATTTTTTTCTTTTACCCTGCTAATTTTTATTAATCGGCCTATTATATTATATCTATTCACAATTATTCTAATCATCACATCTTATAATACATTATAATAAAGTAATGGAAAAATTAGAAAATAACACTAAAATTACACATTCTTCAAATTCAACTTTTTTCTAATGCAGGAAATTTTTATAAGACGGAGATGATGTAGTAGATTTCATAACATCAAATATATATTTTGAAATCTCTAGCTACAGAGCTACTACACGATAATAATTGATAAAAAAATATACAAAGTTAGAATTGATACGAATTTTGATATAAATCGTATCCGAATATGAAAGAATTATGGGCATCTTCAGTTTCACAAGAAGAAAGAAAAAGATGAAAAACTCCTAGCAATTTCAGACTCCCAAGATAGAAATAACAAAAGTAGAAAGTTTATGATATTTCTTAATGATTGATGTAAAGAGTTACGTCTCTATTCATAAAAGATTGAAGAAAATCGTGACTTGAATCCTAATAGAAGAATAATTCTTAATTTTGTCGGTTCAAGAAATACATCAAAATAAAGAAACAAAATGAAAAGTCTTTGAACGAACTTATAATTTCTCTAGAGTTTACTCTCATTCAAGAAATACAATAAGATGAAGAAGAAAAGAAATGTTCAAATTATAACTTATAATTTCTCTAGAGTTAATTCCCATTCGTGTGTGTGGGTACAAAATGACTTTCTTAATTTCATTTTTTATAACCATAAACTCCGGGGCTAAATTACCCCTTTATTAAACACACTTTAGACTTTATTCTAGGAAACATGTCATTTTCAACATTTTATTTGGAAATTTTCCAAAAAAGAAAGATAAAAAGGAAAAAAAGGAAAAACACGCGTGGGTTCGGTTACAAATATATACAGTATATAAATAATTCTCCGGCCGAAACGATCCATCCTCGAAACCCCAATCGTCCAAATCAAATCGCCCCTTTCCCAAATCTGTTCCCTGTATAAATTGATTCAACAATCCTCCTCCCGGAGAGAATTGATCGGAGGAAATAATGGTTATGGCGGCGGCGGCGGGGACGGGATGCAGGAAGCACGGGAATCGGAAACAAGTGCCGGGAGTGTGCTCCAGCTGTCTGAGAGAACGGCTCGCCGAGATTCCCGGCGCGGAATTCGCGGATCCACATAGCGGCGGCGACGACGAAAGCTCCTGCTCCTCCGGTTCCTCATCCGGTTGGATTTCGCCGCGCGGCCATCGGCGGATCCCCTGTGACGGTCGCTCGTCCTTCGCCTTCAGCGCGACCGCCGGAGACGGCGGCAGAGGCCGCGCGGTTTTGAAGAAGAGCAATTCGATCGCGTTCGTTGCCGGCGGCTGCGGCGGCGGGGGGAGGAAGAAGGAGAAAGAAGGGTTCTGGTCGAAGCTCATCCGTTCGACGGGGAAAAAGACAAGGAGGGTATTCTTGCTTTAGTTCAATTGTTCAGATGCAGGGGGGTATAGTAGTCATTTTCTTCTGACGAACAGAGAAATGGATTTGTATGATGACCACCAAGTGTGTTTATTCTTCCTCATTGGGAACAAAGTTAGTTTGCAATCTATCTCTTGCCCTAATCTATCCCATATGTCTATATACTCTTATTAAAAATGTATTAACGTGTTTCATAAAATAATTCTTATTTTTACTTTTTAAGAGTAATAAGAAATATATTTGTGATTGATTTTTCAATGTTGCTTTTGATGTGATTTGTAAAAGTAATATATGATGGATACATTATAAGTAAAAGTATGATGTGATAAAGTTTTTTTAATAGAAAGTAGAAATATTTTAGAGAAAACAAAAAAATTAAAAGGAATTTTACACTAATTGAATAATTTGAATTGGTGTAAAATTATTACACCAATTCAACTGAGGCACATCCGTTAAATCTTCAAACCCGACCCATCACCCTTGCATCTCTCCAATTCCATCATCCAAATTTTTGTTGATTTTATGTCAATTTTTTTTACTCAAAATTTGGTTGGTGCAATTGGAGGAGGTGCGAACGTGAGTAAAGGACTGACCGGGTATGGAAGGTTTATGAAAGAGTTAAGGGTATGGCAATCGATTTTATGATCGTAACACCGCGGATGTCCCAATCAAATTGGTATAACAATTTTAAACTAATTTAATTGGTGTAAGATTACCCCCCTCCAAAATCAAAATTAAAGAGAGTGGGGGGTAATCTTACACCAATTGAATAGTTGAAAGATTGTTACATCAGTGAGGTACATATTTGTAAAACTGATTGTTCATATTCTAATAAATCTCTTATGCCCGACATGTCTTTTACGCACTCTCTCCAACTGTTCCATCTAAATTTTTGTTAATTTTATAATAAAGGGCACAAGGTTATAATTACTCCCTCCATCCACCTAAGTTCTTCCCGTTACGCGTTACGATGCTTGACCGACTTTATTTTCAATTCAATTTAATTGATTATAGGAGTAAAATTTTCAAATAGAATTTATATAATAATAAACTACATGAAAAGTTCTACAAAACTAGAGGTGACAAAACTATATTATTTTACGAAATGGCTAGTAAAAATTAGCAAACAAAGTAAGTAAAGTTTGACCCTGTGAATAGTGTCTGGGAAGATCTATGGTGGACAGAGGGAATATGATTCTTCTAAATGAAATGTAAGACTAATTTTTTAATAGACACATGCCTAAATTAATATAGCATCTCTAAGAATATGAGCAACAATATAGCATTAGACTTACAAGATAGGTCATATAATTGAACTTTGAATCCTTCAAATAAAATTTTTACAAAAGTCTTTATAGATGACATTATAGTGTGAAAAGCAAGAATAAATTCTCAAAATGGTCCTTTGTAATAAGGTGTTTTCCAATTCAGTCCTCAATAAGTTGTAATTATCTACATGGCCCTATATAATTGAGATTTATTCCCAGGATAGTCCTTCGTAAATAATGTTACTCAAATGATGATGAATGGAGAGATATTTTGGTATTTTGATCATCCAAATTTAAAGTATATTCTCGAAACAGTCATTTCTGCACAACTAAATGTAAAATTTAAAAAATACATTGACTATAAATAATTCATGAATTATTTAAAACTTAGAAAAAATCTTTTAAATTTTAAATCAAATACACATCTTTAATTAGAAAAATCATTTTGGGAAAACACTTCATCATAAATGATTATTTTAAAAACTAATTCTAAATTTAGCGGATAAAAAATACCCAAATACCCTTAATTAATCCTCATTTTCAGTAACATTGACATATGACACTACTGTAAATATGATTACTACAATTGTGATTGATAATTTATCAATTACTCCAAATATTTTTTTAATTATTACTCTGTAATTCAAAAGTTTTCTATCTCCACCATTTGTCATGTGAGCTCGAATTATCATGTCTCGTCTTATTTTTGATGCCGTTAGATGGTCAAAGTTTGATTTTACCCTTCATAAGCTTAGAGCATCTCCAATTGGTACTGCAAAGTATAATAGTGTATATTGTATTTTACACTACCAAATGTTTTTTAGAGCATCTCCAATGGAGAGGGTAAAAAGTGTATATTCTTAAATATACACTTTATACACTACAATAAATACATTTTAACCCCTCCAATGAATAGTGTAAATAATACACTATAGTCTAAAATACAATTCCCAACTTCTATATATACACTCTCCCATTCACATATTGTAAAAAATTTATTACTAAAATAATGCATGATTAATTTTTGTTAATTCTTCTTATCCAATATAATTTATTTAAAATATCTAACTATTAGTAAATTGTTATTACTCTTTCAATTACTTTTATTAATAATTTTTTTACTAAACTTTTGTAGTACGTTTTTTTTTACTTTTTTTTACTATTTTTTTATTTCTTGTTTCTTAATACTCTATAACCATAGTTTAAAATATATGTGTCATCAGAATTTTTAAAAATATATATTAACACAATTAAATAACTTAAAATATTAAAATAAAATAAAAGTGTAATATATAGAAGATATGGTTGGAGTGGATATAAAAAAATGGATGTGTAAAACACTATTGATAGTGTAAAACTAAATATAGTCTACCTATTTTTACACTTTCCATTGTAGATGCTCTTAGCAATCCATTTTTCATAGATACTCTAATCATATTTCTTAAATAATACTCCGTAGTACTTTTTATGTATTATTATTTTTAAAATATTTATTTGTGATAATATTTACTCCGTATATTTTTAAATTTTTTATGGTACATGTATTTCAAACTATACATATATTGAGTATTTTTATAAGAAACATGAAATATAAATGTATTTTAATAAATATATAGAAAAAATAAATTTACAAGATAGGAATAACAAGTACTCCGTGGTATACTAATACAAGGTGAGACTTGCTTTTTACAATACAATCTTAATTTTGCACTATACATTGAAGTGATCATATTGCTCTCACTTAACACTTAACAACCACATATAACCAGGGGCGGAGGAGAGGGGGGCTGCCTGGGCAAGTGCCCCCGGGCGAATTTCCGGCGAAGTAGTATTAGGGTACCCCTTCTCCGATGGTAGGCTTGATGTGCCCCTCCAATTTTTCCGGCAACTCGCGGTGCGGTGTCCGGTGTGGCGGCTGTGCAGGGAAGAAGAAGGACAGAAGGTGTACAGGTCCTAATTTGCGATTTCCGAAAAAAGAAGATGAAAGGACTTAATGCTTAAACGACGTCGTAGCTGTACTTTTTTTTTAAAACACTTGAGACTTCAAGACTTTGACCAAATGGACGGATGCCCATTCCCCATTTTTTGTTCCGATCTACTTTCTAAAAAAAAGTAAATTCTATAATTGGTCCTTTATAACAGAGGGTTTTCCTATTTAGTCCTCTATTATCAAATATTATCCTTGTAGTCCATCTTTTATGGGTAACTTTCCACAAATAGTCCTTTTTTTGATCTTCTATCATGTTGGTGTTAATTTGAGGGCTAAAAATGTAATTTCACAATGATAATATATCTTTTTTGTCATACACAATTCCAAAGGTTGTTCCGTTTGTGTCGTTTGTGAATTACAGTCACTTTTTACGACAACGATAGTCTACAAATGTGATCTTTCGTCAGAATCCTAGCCCACAATCATAGTCATTATTTTTGTGTTATTCGCTTAACCAATATCAGAACACGTCACTAGACATAGTGTTGATGTCAAATTATACTTTAGGCCTTTAAATTAACACCAACACGGCAGAAGATGAAAAAAAGGATCATTTGTGGAAAGGTACCCTTAAAAAAAGGACTACGGGGGTAATATTTGATAATAAAGGACTAAATATGGAAACCCCCATATTATAAAGGACCAATTATGGAATTTACTCAAAAAAAAAAAACTAAACCCACTAACCCCTGAGTTCCTGACTCTCTCTATTCTCTCATAAATCTTTGCGGCAAAACAAAAAAAAAGGTCAACCATCTTCACTTTTGTGTTCTTCTTCTTCAAATCTTCATCTTCTTCACGGTTTTTCTTCTTCAATTCTCGATTACTTTTTCATTATCCAGGTATATTCAATTTCCAATTATTCAATTTAGAGATTTGTTTGTTAATTTTTAAATTTTTGAATATTGTTAATTTATTTTTTGAATACTTTAGTTTGTTCACTTGTTCTAATTTTCAAACAGATTCCTAATTTTTTATTGATATTTAAATATTTGTTAAATGTTAATGTATATTCATTTTGTTATTTTATTATTTAATTAGGTAATCTTGAGATCTTAGATGGATAAATTTGTTATTAGAGAAAAGAAGAATTTAGTATTTGTAAATGATAAAGGCAAGAAAAATGAAGTATCTTAGAAAGAAAGTGTGATTTCAAATGATGATATTGTTGGTGATCCGGAATTAAGAAAACAGTTATCCGTTGGAAATTAGAGACGTCATAAGGAGATGATACTTAGCAAAAAGTCCTTGTCGACCATTGGTAAAAAAAAAGACGGTTTCAAAGTGTTTGGTTTGATAAATTTGTGCCCCCCATGAAGTCTTCCCTGGCTCCGCCACTGCATATAACAGAACTTTTAACGAAAGACTATCAAAGAAATAATTTTTTATTATAAAGTACTATGTAGATTATTATTATTTTTTGAACTGATTTAGAAAAATATTTTATTAAAAGAAATATTTGCACCAAATAACACTAAAATACAAGTCATTTCTCGATGTAGGACTTTAAATTTTTTATTTCCTAAATAATATTTAATAATGTCCAGAAGGAGAAATAATGTCAAGTGATAGTGAATATTTATTCAAATAATGACTAATAGATAATGACTAAAAATGCTATATTGAGAAGTAAAAACATATAATGATTATTTAATTGAGTGATTTTTTAATACTTTATTTTTCCAATATTTTCTAACTTCTTCTAATTTTTTAACCATTTCTAATTTTTTCGAACTCCTTTTTTTGATTTCTTCCAAAATCTAATTTTATTTTTACAACTCAAATGAATAGAGCCACAGAAGTAATCCATAGTCCATACACTATAGTGGGCTCTTATGATTTGTATAGCCCAAATAAATTGTCCAATTCCAAACCCGAGTAAATGACCAACCTCTCGTTCCCCTTCCTTCCGCTTTGCTAAACCTAGCTGCAGCGCACCCTCTCATTCTCCTCTCCGCCGCAAACCGGCCGCCCGGACCACCGTAGGAAGC